TATTAAGGAATTCCTATTATTAATCATAGAGCGCTGATTGATCTATATGTGGTACTCATCACTCACCATGCATCTACTTGCAGTGCTGCTGCCATTATGAGTTTATTATGACCCTGATTATATGTAGCTATAATATGCACGCAGCACGTGAGGTCGCCCGGATCTCGCCAATCATGCCAACCATGCCATCTCGGCCATTTAATGCATCCATGCTTTTCTTTCCCCCGTTTGTCTCTTATACTTAGGGAGGAGTACTTTCTGGGCTAAGCAAGTACGCAAGCACCACGTATGTGGGCCTTAGCCCTTGATTTGCTCCCAGCCCGTTAGATAGGCCCAGATAGAATCGCCATCGAAAAGCCCAGATCTCCGTGTCCATGATTCGACAACATAATGCTACAGTAACATACTCGCTAATAACAGATTAATTAGGCTTAATAAATTCGTCTCATGAATTACTGATGGATTCTATAATTTATTTTTTTCATTAGTATCTAAGTACCCCATGCGACATCCCATGTAACACCCGATGTGACACCCTAAAATTTTACACCCTAGATTTAAACAGACCGAAGAAGGGGTGAGGTCTACTGCCGCACTGTGACTGGCCCGCAGTTCACGAGCGATTCCTCGCAATCGTCACGTCGGCCTCATGGGGGAGCGCTCGCCGCCACCCGCCGCCCTCTTCCTCCCTCGCCCCACGGTGCGCGGCAGGATCCTGGGCCCTGTTCGCTTCTCTTATAATCCGTACTTTTCAGCTTATTTTTTTAGCCGGAACAGTATTTTTTTCTCACGATAAATTAGTCGGAACAGTGTTTTTGCTTTTTTTTTTCCCCGAAGCTAACGGGGCTCCGGTCTCCGCGCGCCTGTCGCGTCGCGGGGGGAACGCGTTGTGTCAGGGGGATCCGAGGCCTGCGCCGTCGCGATCTGCTGTTTGAATTGGGCTCATTTGACACAAACGTTGCACGCGAGTTGGGATGGTTGGTACGGTGTAGAGTTGGGATAGTTCGTCACGGTCTGGCGGGCGGATTCAAAGGTTCGAGGATTGTGCTCGTCTCAGTTTGTTTGGCTGTTTGCATGTGTTTATAGAAACTTTGCGCCTTTTTAGGCGCCGAATTGGGTTTGAACAAGGAGTTCGTTCAACTCATTTGCGCGTCTCGTCCCTGTTAAGTTAGATCAACTGATTAAGTAACCTCTAGGTGTCCCAAAGTAGTTTTTGCTGAGGATCATGGACTTCCTTTAGTAACTATTTTACCTTGAGTTAGGTAACTGTTCTGAGTACTAATGTTGGTGTCCTTTACGCTCCACTCTAGCAAATGTTTGTTACTCTGTTTTTTTATTGTCCTCAACAGGGTTCAAAATTTCGGTGAAATTTCGGCCGAATTTCACGAAATTCGGTAATTTCGGTGGTGGCCGAAAGAAAACTCCGAATTTTTTTAATACACTAATACATGTGCTATATAACTCTAATCTTATATTTTTCTATTGTTTATATTGCATATTCTTCTATTTAATAGATATGTAATCATAAATCATACTAATATTTGTTTAGATCCAAATTTTTTTAGAAAAAACATACTTCATGTGCTAATCTCTAAAAAAAATTCGGCGAAATTTCGATCGAATTTCGCGAAATTCGGTAATTTCGGTGGTGGCCGAAATTTTGGCAATACCAAAATTAAAAACCTTGGTCCTCAAGCTAATTACAGTATGTACTACATGTTGTCATATTTTATATGCTTTATTATTAGCCACCCTCATGTCTATTTCTACTGAGACTCCATCTAGTTCTTAGTCGGTAATTAGTGAGATTTCTTTTAAAATTAAGAAAAGGTAAGTTTTTTTTGTCTTTGAATGAAGAGGTTAAGTTTTGTTAAAAAAAGTTTGTCTGTCTTTCTGAGCTTTTTAATGCAAATCTTTTAGAAGCATTTGTTTGCTTAATAGTGAGCTTCATGTTTTTTCTGTATAACATCTCCATGTTCTGTTCAGCCATTGGTTTTTTTATTATATTTTCTCGTCTTTTTTCCAAGCAATGTTGGTTGCTAGTATTGTTACCATTTGAATCACCTAGAGCTCTCTTAGATACCTGTACTCAGGTAGTCTTTGAAACATTTTCTTGTCTTTCTTGAGTGAAGTCTTTAGCGTCGGGGTATTGTTCTGATGCTTCTAGTCAGCATGAAATTTAGACATTTAGTGCTTATTGCAGAACAAACCTGGAGATGCCTTGGCGGAGGACAGCTCTGTTGAGAACGTTGTTGGCAGGATGTTTAAGAGGTTAGTTCTGGCATCAAATTGTCATCTTCTTGTTGTCGTAAATGAGGTTTGGGGCCTGGTTACTGAATATTGATTACATATTTGTTCTACTGTGAGGTAGTGATTCAGTTTGAATCAGTGAACTATATGGATACTGCTTTTGTCCATGCCCATCACTGTCCATGTAAAACTTGTGCGTTACCGGGATCCAGAAATCAGAATATTCTGGCATCGAATTCTCATCTTCTTGTTGTCGTATAAGGAGAATCATAGCAATTATTTGAGCTTGTAAACTAATCTTGGGACTCCCATTTTCGAAGCAATTGAGAAACAGTCAGTCAACTGAACTTTTACAAACAACATACCACCATTTATAGCTTTCTCAGTTATCACGGGTCCTGCAGGACATAAGTTGTTTTCCTCCCCACTAATATATTTGCATCAAATCTCTTGCTGCCCTTTCGAAAAAAAACATACAGCGTACCACAGTTGCTCATAGTCATGTGTGGCTCTTGTGCGTGGCACTACAAGCTTCAGCTCGATGTGTGGCTCTGGCTGTGGGTGGCGCCCCTCACAAAAACACTATTCATCCGAACCACCAAAAGACTACTTCTCTCTCACGCTTAGGCGCGGTGCTTAGCTTCTGACAATCCATTTTTAAAGATTTCAGTCATGCCTAACAGTTTCAGGCAGTGGCAAAACTGAGACTGGATCTTGCCTGCCACCAATCACTGAACCACACTTCACACTTCACTAGGGGCCGTAGCACCCTCGGCGAATCTCAGCCGCAGTTGTATCCTCTTCTCGCCGGCAGTCTGCCACAGCGGAGCGCGCTCTATGGCTCCGCTCACCCAGGCGCGCTGCACAGCTCCTCCTCCTCATCTCCGGCTGCCGCAACCGGCCGTCGTTGCCGGAGTCGCCGCCACCTTCTCCAGCTGCAGATGTAACATCACTGAACTCGAACTCGTGGTCTCTCCCTTCTCTCTGCTCCTCTAGTGCTTTTAGCTGGGTCAATGGGATGGAGTAGCGTACGAGTGGATAAGAGTTTAGATATGATTGCCCTGTCCCTGGTTCGTGTCGGTAATGACAACGAGTGGTTTTAGATGATTTGATTATCCGTTTTAGCAGGCATCCATCATAATCTGGATCGCAAAAAAAATGTGGGTAACAAATCTACACATTTTTGTTCCTTGCTACCAATTATATTTTTCTTTTCATTTCTAACCTTTTTTTTTGGCCCCCGAACAATGTTCTTTTGTGAGCTGAGCTAGTTTGATGCCTCGGTTCGATCTATCTATCAAGCTCAAGACTTGGCATATATACACTGTTCATTTAATGTTAGTCGACGCGTCCGTTAGCCATTAAAATTTTCCCCGGTCTAAAATTGTGTAAACAAGTTTCTTAGAGGATCTTTAGAAGTTTTAGAAAACAACTTTATATTTTACTTTTTTAGCAAAAAAGAGAAAAGTCCCCTCCAATAGGTTGGTAAAAGAAGTTCTTTAAAAATAAAAACTTGTCAAATATTTTTTAAATCGTAAGTTTCTACAGTCGAGAAAAACTCTGTATCCGCTCCTCGTCTAGTGTTTTTCTTGGGAGATATCAGAATAAATTGGACACATGACTAAAATAAGAAATAAAAGGTTTCAAGTGAAAAAAATGGTAAGAGATAAAGAAACTACTAAAAAAAGTTTGATTGGTTAGAAATAGTTCGAGATTCTCGACACAATCATTTAGGAAGCTATATAGGAAACTACTAGAGAGGAAAATGAATTGAGGTTGCTACTTATGTTGTTAAATCGCTAAACTTAGGGGGTGTTTGGGACTGCTTCGCTTTATATTTTTTCAGCTCCGCTCCACGTTTTTTAGCCAAATGATTTCAACTTCACGCACTCAATTCGAGAAAAAAGAGTGGAGTTGTGAGAGCACCTAAAGAGGTGATCCATAAACTCCAATTTTTTATGAAGCTGCTCCACGGTAGAGTTTGTGGAGCAGTCCCAAACATTCTCTTAGTTTAGCAAGTTAATTATAAGGAACTCATGGAGTTACTCTTTGATGTGAGGTGTTTCTTGTGATGGAATCTGTATATACGGATTTAAGTTCTCAAGTTAAAGCGAAAGCTCACATTTTACTAGTTTTATTTTAGAATTTAACAGTATACTCTTATGGTAGCATTTTTTCTAATAAAGTAAGTTTTTATTAAAACCTCAAAAGCAATACATCGAGACGATACTGAGCCAATCTCTCGAAGGCGCTCGTGGAGGTAAAGCTGTGTCATGTGCGCGCGCGTATTCATAAGGTGAATATGTTTACACGCGTACGTAAGTATCTGTAGTGTGCTCCACAAGTGCTTTAAAAGACAGTATATTTCTTTTTTTTTCTTTTACGAAGTACTGTACTAGGCACTATTGGTGAATCATTAGGCGGAATGAAATCACAAATTAAAATAGAGAAAGCGACAACAATCCTTCCAGCTGCCTCCACGTGTGCACTTTGCAATCACTGCTGGCGCCTGACGTGGCATCAGGAGTTGTAGCGGGCAATCGCCCTGGAACTGGAAGCTTCCTCCAATCCTCCCTGCCTGTTTTTGCCACCGATCCCACGATTCGGATCCGATTCCGGGGCAGGCGTCATTCCCAATCCCATTTCCCTCCCCGATCAAATCAAATCAAACTCAAACCGACACGAGTACACGACTCACCCCCGCCTCCGCAGATCGCCGTCGCCACCTTGGCCCCCTCCTCCGCGCGCCGATGGCCGCCGTGGACCCGCCGCCGCGCGGGGAGGCCGCGCCCGTGCTGAAGCGGAGCGCCAGCATCGACGGGATCCCGGAGGACGCGCGGCGCATCCTGCACCGCCTCGCCGGCGACCTCTGGGGCGGCGACGTGGACCCCAGCGCGCTCACCGTGTCCCAGCTCAAGGGCGCCATGACCAACGAGGTCTTCCGGATCACCTGGCCCGGCGGCGAGGGCGACCCGCGCAAGGTGCTCGTGCGCATCTACGGCCGGGGCGTCGAGGTCTTCTTCGACCGCGCCGACGAGGTCCGCACCTTCGAGTGCATGTCGCGCCACGGCCAGGGTCCCCGCCTCCTTGGCCGCTTTGCCAACGGCCGCGTCGAGGAGTTCATCTACGCCAGGGTACGCTACGCCTCTACCACCCTAATGCGTCTGCTCGAATGGGGAATTGGCTATTGGTTATTGTCATGTTATGGCTCACTCTCGCGTTGCTCGCGTCCTCGCTTTGTCAGACGCTCTCCGCGGCGGATCTGCGCGACCCGGAGATATCCGCGCTGATTGCCAAGAAGCTGCGGGAGTTTCACGATCTCGACATGCCTGGACCTAGGGACGTGTCATTGTGGCAGAGGCTCAGGTATGCTTTTCTCATTGCTGCTGTTCTGATTTCGGTGAGAAATGTGCTTTTTCTCATTGCTGCTGTTCTGATTTCGGTGAGAATCTGATTGCTTTGCTTGGTGTTCTATGAATCAGGCGGTGGCTTGAGGAGGCTCGTGGCAGGTGTTCTGAGGAAGAGTCTAACCAATTTCAGCTGAATAAGCTACGCGATGAGATTGCAGTGCTGGAGAAGACGCTCTCGGGGGTCGAACAGTCAGTAGGATTTTGCCATAATGATCTGCAGTATGGGAATATTATGATATATGAAGAGACCAGACAAGTCACCTTGATTGTAAGTTTTATAAAAGATATAAGCTATTCTCATATTATACTTAAACCTGTGCTGGCGCCTATTTGCATAATTCTAGGTAAAATATGCAGAATTATGAATTTCCTGTATGTTATTATGAAATTTTAGGAATGGGGACAGATTAGTAAAACAGAAAAAAAAATCTAGAAATGCAAACAATCTGGTTTGCTGAGCAATGCTAGCAATAAGGGCAACTTGATAGACCAGTGAGGAGTTCTTGTTCTACCACATATTAGACCATGTTATCCCTGTAACTGAATGCTATTTTGTTGATCTCTTATGTCCTGCAGGACTATGAATATGCGAGTTTTAACCCTATTGCATTTGACATTGCTAATCACTTTTGTGAGATGGCTGCTGATTACCATACAGCGACACCACATATGTTGGATTTTTCAAAATATCCTGGTTAGTTTTACTTGTGACCAATTGACCATGTGAGTTGATAAATATGTTGCTATTTAACTTACGTTTGCTGCTTAATTTTATTGCTCTGCACTATTTCAGACATTGAGGAGCAGAGAAGATTTGTTCAGACATACCTTAGCTCCGCAGGTAATCACAAAGCAATAAATTTGAGAATTGCTGCGCAATCATGCTGTGCTAATGGACTGTTTAAGCTGAAAAAGATGCTCACTCGTACCACATGGATATATTGTGAGAATTCTCTGTTTTTAAGAATTGTATATTCTATATATTTTCATCAGGTGAAAAGCCATCAGATGGGGAAGTTGAAAAACTACTAGGGTTGATTGCAAAGTACACTCTTGCAAGCCATCTCTTCTGGGGCCTGTGGGGAATAATCTTGGTGAGTTATCGATACTAGAGTAGTAGAGTCAAATGTGCATATATCGGTTTGTGAATAATAAATCCATCGAAGCTTTATTGGTTTCTTGTTTTCTCTACTATGTCGTCAGGCACATGTGAACAAAAATATCGACTTCGAGTACAAGGAGTATGCAAGGCAACGCTTGGATCAGTACTGGCAAACAAAGCCTGGAATGCTTGGACCCAACTGATTAGTCACTGCTTTTAGGGTCCTTGGCTAGCTAGTCCTGTGAATTCTGTTTGTCAGTAGCGGCTAGTAGCTTCCAGTTTTTTACTGCAGTTTGTTCAGCTCGTTGTGACTTGTGACCATATTCTTGGCTTAGAGTACGCGATTTGTAATTATGTCTACCCAGTAGCCTTACACGGTTCTGAACAAAATTCCTGGCTGACAGTTCGGATCGTTTTGCGGTTCAACTGATTGCTATTCTGACAATTTTCATATGCGGTCAGTATGGCATGGCGGCATGTGATTTGCATGTTGCTTATTGAGATGCACTCCAGCCAGCCATGGAGACCCCACCTGCAAGTTTCAACTGGGGATGTCACTATTCAAAAATGCTATTCAAATCGTTCTCCACTCCTGCTTAGTTATCAAGAAGTAACGATTTGAAAAGTCAAGCACGATTTCCCTTAGAACTCCTGGTTATGGCCAAGTTTGGACATGGTGTTGTATTGGGCCTTTTTCACTTGCAAATATTGAGACGACTGAAGAGATACAGTGATCGTCATTGTTATAAACAGTGACCAGATTTCGCTACCACTGGCTCTGTGGGTGTGCTTTTTTTTTTTGAGGGAAACTGTGGGTGTGCTTGTGCCTGGTACTCGTAATGCTTGCAAGCAATCGCTCGTAGGTGCTTGGAGCAGAGGATAGAGTAGTGTATGCAGAGGGAGGAGAACTGGGGCCGAGGGCCCTATGTATGTGCCGTTTGGATCGAGTTTTGTAAGTGCCGTAGGTGGGGACGTCATTCCCCCGCGGATCGTTTTTTCTTTCCGGTTGGGTGGAGGGCAGTTGTGTTGTAAGAGTACAAGCATGAGGCGTATGTTGCAATAAATAAATAAAAAACGATTTCTTTTTTCCCATTCTTCTTTCTTACTAGGTAGCATGTTCGTGCGTTGCTACGAAATAACTAAATTTTTATACTAAAAACACATAGATCGTACGATAAGATAACAATGCTATAAAATTAAATACCGCCGTTAAAGTAACATTTAATTCAAAAAGCAAAGCTCATAAAATTAACTCAGTCACAGAGAGCGCGGCGTCGCAGGCTCACCAACTCTATTCTATAGACCTTTCCTTTTAGCATCTAAGCACAAAGTTATTTATATGACACCATTTGACGATTGCCTTAGGTGAATATTAAATACAATATATTATTATTCAGGAGATTATGAGGAACACAATTCAACAAAATCTATGTATGGTATGGTGCTGCAAACTTATTCGAGTACATATGTTAAAGTAAACAATTATTACTTGTGTAAAGAATGAACATAATCACTTTCTAGACAAGGACAACCTTTTCCTTGTCAAGCTTCTTAGCCTTAGCCAGCTCCTCACTTTTCAAGTTTCTCTGAAGCGGCCTCAACCATTTTCCCACCTTTTGTGTTCCCCTAATGTTTCCCATTGGCATTTTCAGGAAGTGCCAATGCATCTTTTATTGACTTGAAACCAAAGAATGCCAGTAGAGCAACTGCATAAATTCACAAGAGATACAAAATAAATGCTCAAACATCTGTTGAAAAACTACATACTGTTCCATCAAAAAGAAAATAAGATAAATCGTAGTTGATAGCAGAATATTTGGATGTACTCCAGAAGCATGAAAGGGGGCATACATAAATAGTAAATTAGAATATATAGCAATGACCTGAGTAGTGCATCCCTAAGCATAAGCACACCAAAATGAACCTGAACAATCTAGAGTAACCAACACTATTGTGGTACAGATGCAAATGATTAATTTTGTAATTACACTACAGTAAACATACAAACAAAACAGAGTGTTCCTATAGTGAGAGAATCATAATAAAGCAAAATTTAGTCTATTGCCACTTTCTTTGGATAAAACCTATGTTGTCAAATTTTGAATTATGGACTGATCATCTTAAATATGCTAGATAGTTTGAAAATATATACATGTAAGAATTATTGTGCGCTTGCATATGACAGTTGCAGAGAATAAATATGGATGATTGGACATTACCTGAATGTTAGCTGCTGGAGAGAGAAGTGGTCCTTTGGTTGCATGTCGTAGGCGGCGTAAGAGACGAACCTTGCACCAATTGGGGAGCAGCATGGCAGCATCGCCAATCCTCTCCGGCGACGCGTACTCCCTCCCTGGCCTCGACCTTTGCACGCACCAGCATTGTGTCCCAGGGAGCACGTGCTGGTGAGTAAATTCAGGTTGCTGCACTATCGACCCAAAATCGAGCGTTTGAAGGAAAAGACACGAATGGATAGAAGGAAAAAATTAGGAAGTGAAGAGTTCCTTATAACCAAATTAAACATACCTAAGTTACAACAGTTAACAAGCAATTTGATAATCTGTTGGGAAAGTGTATATCCATCACCAAAGGCCATGAACACTTTTGAAATCCATAGACATAGTATTTATCATCATATAATTGCCATAATCCATTTGGTTGTAGTTTTCTCCACCATTGTCATAATCATCATGCATCCTCGTCTTCATAGCTGCAGTCTATAATGTTACCCTATAAACAATAATATAGCTTTAGTTAGAAATATCAAAAAAGTTGCCACTAAAAAAAGAACTAATATGACCTCATTTTTATTGCTTGTTATTAGTTTTGAAAAGAAATAATGTATCCCAAAATTTGAAAAGCAATAGCAGGATACAAAGTTTTCTATGGTATTTGTGTTAGCTCCCCAGTTAAATGATTGGTATCTAGTGAGTAGACTGAGAGTTGTGCATCTAGAAGCTGGCTGTGATCTATGCGAGTTAGATTCACCATGTAAATCAGCCATAAGATGATTCCCAAGGTAGTGATAAACTTTGCAAGTAGCACAGCATACATTTTCACACCTGATGGAGATGATGAAATAAAGCTAGATAGCAGCAGCAGTAGTATAGAAAAAAAAACATTCAATAATCATCAATCATGTTCTAAGACATCTTTAAGAGACCATGGAAATAAAAGCCTGCACCTCTACTACATTCAGACTACTGCACACACATGAAACAAATTGAACTCACATGAATATTCAGACTTTATTATCTAAAAAATGAATATTTAGACCGCAGACCACATGAATTTTTAGAAATTATAGATACAAAATAAAAACTATCTGAATAATTTGTCAGTGATACGCAATCTGCAAGTAATAAAACAATAACAACATAACCTAAGTTTAGAATCTTTTACCCATCAGATTAGCTAATTACATATCCATCTTGATACAGAAACTACTGTACACAGAGAGAGAGAGAGAGGGTGGGGATGGAGAGATACACAGATATATGAAGGAGATGGATTACTCGAGTTGATTTATTAAGAACACAAGAAGCCATGGGCTCACCTTGGGGTCGTGGGAGTGGGACTACTGGACAATCAGAGGAGGAAGACGCTGCGGGCACCACACACTAGGATCGGAGACAGAGATGAGCCGAGGACAAGACACCGTAGTGGATCTGCGTGTCGGGCAGCCAAGCCCCGCCATCGTCACCAAGGAGCCTGGGTCGCTGGGATGCGTCGCCGGGCGCCATGTGATGCGTCGTCAGTCGCCGGCTACGGGCAGATGCACCAGCCGGTGCCGATGCTGCTGTCGGTGCTGGATGTCAGGTGCTGTTGGGGCTGAGAGGTGATGGTGCCGCCACGGGGAGGAGAGGGATCGCAAGATCGTACCACGCGCGCGGGGGAAGGAAGGACTGCGCTGCCGGCGTGCATCGGCCGTGCCCTGGAAAAATATTAGCCTGTGAGTTTGCACTGTCCAGCAGATATGGACATGTTACATGTGCTTTGCACCAGCTACTTGTAAATTGGCCCTCATCCAACCCAAAAAGGAAATCGTTAGCACAAAGTAATGAGATAAGCTCTACTATATTGTTTTAGGAATCTACATTTGGACCTATGGATATGTACAGAATAGAGACCCCTTCCATCAGAAGAAAAAAATTATTGCGACTGCATCTCTACTATAAAGGAACTTTGCAAATTATAATCCTCTAAGCTAATTCAATCACTACTATAAAGGATGCACAACAAAGTAGCACATCAAAATAATAACCAACCCCTGTTGCATAGTTAATGTTTCCAACCATTATTATTTCTAAATTGTATGTCCTCAAAGACCTATCAGGTCATCCACAAGACAATTAGACTTGACACTGGCTCTCAGTAAATTTTATATCAGTGCAAGCCTGATCAGATTAACAAGTTTTTTCAAATATACTTCACTTCTCAACCAAAATGCCAACCCGTCATAGCAAAAACCCGTAAAAGTTCCATCATCAAATATTTCAGTACTTGGTTACATTACCTAATGGCCAAGTTCTGGTTTTGGAATAAGTTAGGCATGTAGTTCTGAAAAGGTACATTATAATGTTTACGATAAGGGTAATAAATAAAGCTAATAAAGCGCACACACATTTCTGGAGAGGGGTAACAAACTAAACAGCAAACAGATCTACCTTAGAAAAAACATTTCTAGTTAATGTTCTTTCCCACATTCCAGGCAGTGAAGCAAAGCTTGTGTGTTTTGCAGGTTGGTAGATAGTATGCTCATAAATTTCATCAGATAGCACCTGCAAAAATTGAGAGACGATTAAAAGTAGTAAAAAAGTAAAATATAAAATACATAATGGCGTCAATACATGATAATGATGACAATACATTTTTGTCTTGAGAATGATTAAGAGAAACCCCATGGGGTGGATCATCCATAAGACCAAAACAGATTTCTTTTCCGTCAGAACAGCATAATACATGTATACACTTGTAATTTGATCAATCACAAGCAGGTTTGAACCTAACATAGGAGTTAATAGGCATAATACATGTCTATAGTTGTAATTAGATGGGATCTGAACTCAAATTGCTTGCTTTAGGGTTTGGGTTCTCAGTTTTCGCACAGCAGGAAGGGAATGGATGGGGTGGGCTGGGCATACTTGGTGGGTGCACGTCGTCGGTGAAGTGCCCGACAAAGACCTAGGCAGCATCGTCCGCCTCTCACCGGCCGGGTGGAAAAACGCCGGGTGGTCAATGTTAGCACGGGCGGCGGGGGTTCAAACACCGACGGGCGACGTTGGAGAGGAAGGAGTGCATGGGGAAGGAGGGATTGTTGGGAGGAGATGGATTGCACGATCGCACGGGGGAAGGAAGGATCGCGCGGGGGAAGGAGCGCCGGGTGCGTGATTGACGGTGCAGAGAGGAACGAGCGCGCGGGGAAGGAAGGATCGTGGGGAGGAGAGGGATCGAACGATGGCACGGGGGATGGAGCGCCGGGTGCATGATTGATGGCGCGGAGAGGGATCGCACGGGGGAAGTCGCGTTGGCTGGAGGGAAGTCACATCCGCAGGGGGTGAAGCGGACCGACAGAGCGACGATTGTCGCACAAAACGGTGGTCTTACTTTCTTTCTTTTTATAGTTGTAGGAGACTCGGTTCGTGCCCGTATGTTACTACGGGACAGCTAAATTTTTTTACTAAAAACACATGGATCGCATGATAAGATAATAATACTGTAAAATTAAATACCGACGTTACATTTAATCCAAAAATCAAAGTTCGTGTAATTAACATAGTCACGAAGAGCGCGGCGTCGCAGGCTCACAAACTCTACTGTATAGATCTTTCCATGATGCGGCTAAGACAATGTTCTATATTGGCAAAAAGAAATCTCATCTGCAAGAACAAAGATAATGTTACCCATCTTTGTTATCTGCAATGTTTTTTTTCACGGATGAACTTCCATTTGAAGATATCCTTGTTCCATCCAGGACTATGTACATTCACTGCGGCCATGTACTGCAAGTTAAATACAAAAGTTTGCCTAGCATACATTAGCACTAGTGTGCCTTTACAGCACTTTTCAACAGGTATAGAGTCAATCATGATAAGCGTCTTCTTCTACAGGTCAAAAATAGCCCTGTTCGTTTCGCTGAAATTTGGCTTATGCTAATTTGTTGTGAGAGGACTGTTCGTTCACTAAAAAGTATTGCTAAAGTAGTGTTGAAGAATAGGGCGAAAGAATATTTTTTTAAACGTGTAGCCATGGCAAAAGAAACTATAAACACAGTAGCGATTATAATAACAGGAAACAAATAATAAAAGCAGGAGCAAGTGATTTACGTATCTGCACTGTGGTAAGTTGTATTTCAGATTCTCATATATACCAATCGCAGCAGCCATTTCTTTCGCACTGTATCTTTTATGGTATTCTGGGCTTTTTGTTCAAGCACACATTTTCTGAAAGAGAAGGATATTGAGAGTCAGGATTAATATAACTTGTCTATTTTATATAATTAGAAGAACAACAAATAAGGCAATATAATATACCATGATAATAATTATAGAAATGTGTTAACCGAAGCGCAGGTCCGTGTGATGCTTCATAATATTTTTGGATTAACATTTTAAAAATGGTTATATTTTTAGGGAAAAAAAGAAAAGACCAAACTACACATAACCCACAATCACACGTACATTATCCTCAGCAAGCACTTCTGCTGTTGAGCAGCAGCTACCAGTGAGGGTGAGGGGACATGGGAGTAGAGTCCACTTCCACCACAACCAAATGCGTAGTGGTACTCTCAATCTAGTCCTCTCTTATTCTACTCCGCTCTTCCCCCGTGGCACGGATGCACGTGCGCTCATCGGATTCGGTCGTGTGCCGGCGAGAACTGGGCTGCTGCAGACAGAAAACATAATAATCACGATAACATATACATGAGCGTGTTATACTGTTACTACAAAAAGATATTACAATCCTGATGTTTGGACATTGATTATACTGTTATACATATGTATGAGCATGTGTTATACTGTTAGGTTCCATACAAAAATGATGATTTTACCCTCTGAGTAACAGTAAAATTTTAGTATATTCCATTATGTCATTGCACGATATTTTCATCCATTCCCCTAGATATCATTGTTTTGAATATTTATTCATTCCAAATCTCCCACCGAAAGTATATACATATATATGACAAGAAAAGAATGAACAAAAATACATGGATAACACATATATGTTTACATAGACAACAAGCCAGCCATTTAATTGGTCACTGGATACACATGGATGACATATATTTTAGCGAGCTGCTCAGGCTACACTCGGGTGCTCCTGATAGTAGTATCATCATCCAAGTTTTGTGTCGTGAAACATCACAACACCACTTTTGCTGCACATAGTAATGAGAACACACTACAGTTAGGGGCGAGGAGAAAGCTTGCTTTGTACCTTAGAGGAGCCTCCCAAAAGAAGCAAAAAACAGGGGATGTTTAAGTTTCAGTAAGTCCAATACCTAATACCAATATGAATAAGAGCAAAAATCAGAGGAAAAATAAGCATCAATTACCTTTTGATATTGTCGATAAGTATCGCGGCCAGTAAACAGTTGCTCATTTTTTGAGACATAAACCTGTAGCAAAAGTTCAACAAAGCAAAATTATAATTGAATATGTTTTCTTGAGGATAAAAGAATAATCTTAAAAAACATTGAAATGCAACTAATATATGCATCCATACGGACAAGTTATATAATTCTTACTACACACGGTTGAGGGTCCTCAGACCATGCTTTCAAGGGCTGCGACACTGTCCTTGACCATGCTCGGCCTATGTGAGTGCAGCACATAGGCGCACGATGCCACCGCCTCGCCTACCGTCAGGAAGATCCACTCGTCGTCGGTCTACTCCAGCACCTTGGAGCTATCCAGCTTCTTCATGATCTCGCTACCTGGGTTCGCCAGCTCGATCTTAATGAAAGACACATGGAAGAGCACTACGGAATCAGCCAGGGTTCATGCAAGCGGCATGATATGACATTTCAGAACTGTGCTGGAGTTGACAACAAATAAAGGACTAAATCAGCGCTGGATGGATGGGAGTGTGTGATTGGTTCTGCTCTTACCTGCATTCCCCTCCGGTCCATGGACTTCCTGAGTTCGACCAGCATGCTCGTCCCGCTCGTGTCGATGCTACTGACCGCTGCAGCATAAAGAAAATACAGATCAAGTTTCTGATGCAGATCGGTCAAGTTTCAGAGTTGAGAGAAAACCATGCAACTGATTACTCACCACCCATGTTGAGGACAATGTACTGCACACCAATCTCGCCCTTACCCTTGGTGCGCTCCTCCTCCTTGTCATTCCACCGTGAGATCCTGATCAAACCAAACACCGGTAGGTAGGACCCATATCGTTCTCGTCATCCCTCCATCGAGTTCGAATCCGTTGATCAACCTGCCTGCATTGCTTACCTCTCTCGCACGTAGCTGGCGTTGGCGAAGTAGATGGGTGTCTCTATGCACAGGACGAGCACGCCGGGCACCGTCTGCGTGGCGGCATACTGGTCCATCCTCCGGTAGACCATGGAGTTGGGAGGTTGCCAAGCTGAGCACCGTTGTCCGGGGCCGCGTGATGAACAACAAGGCGCGGAGGGCAGAGATGGAGACGGCAACAACCAGCCCGATCTTGATGCTGCCAAAGATGACACCCAGGTAGGCGCTGATGCAGAAGCAGAAGTCCACCTTGTCGACCTGCCACGGGTGGAGCACGACATGGTAGTCGATCAGCCGCATCATCGCGGAGATGATCGCTGATAGCACCACCAGCGGGGTGTAGTGAACAGCGGGGTAAGGAGCAGCAGCGTTACAATCACTGCCAGCGACATGACCACGTTCAACATGGCTGCCTTGCACCCGGCGTTGTAGTTCACGGCAGACGGTGAGAAGGGGCCAGTGGTGAGGTAGCAAGGCGTGAAGGAGTCGAGGATGTTCATCGTCCTGAGGTGATCATCTCTCCTCCCTACGACAATGCCTTCCTGTATTTGGCCTGGTGAGTGGCGATCCCCGGAGGCTTGGCAGGACGTGGGGTGGAAACAGAGTTTATCGCGCGTGCGTGGTGGGCAATAAGGTTTCCCGTAATTTTCAATTTCCTTTTCTCTTCCCTTATTTTTCAATACTTTCCCATTTCATCTTCCCTGCCGTAATCTCTTTCCTTTTTTCCGTGAGTCGCCGGTGGATTGTGGAAATTATTTTGCATTAGTTAGACAGAATCGGTTGAATCTTTTTGATCAGTGATTTCCTTTTGCTCGACAACTGTGTTGATTGCGCGCGGAGCCGAGGCCAGTGGGAGCGCGAGCGGGTGGGCGCGTATTGTTGTGACGAGCAGAGCAAAGCGAGATTGCATGTGGTGCTATTTTGTTTTGCATGTCCTAATATTCTAGTGATTGAAGATCTATTTTTTTAAAGGGAAATCAGAGGAAGGGGAGGGCATGTGGGATCGCATGGCTAGGGGAGTGTGGGCGACGTGTTTTTTTCGTATGGGGTGAAGCATAGGTGAGGCGAAGGAAATTATCGCACCATTCCATTGTCTTCCTTTTGTTCTTTTTAGTTGTGGGAGATAACAAACAATCAAGCTACACCTGGTTCGGCCGTCCAGCCCATCCCTGCCTCCAACGTATATACTCCAATACTCCATCTGTCGTAACATAAATAAATTCTTAGAATCACTCCTAAGTTAAACAACTTAATTTTAACTAACTTTATATTCTCTATGTTCTAAATTATAAGACACTTTAACTTTTATAGATACATTGTGTTGACTATGTACCTACACGTATATATCTAAGTCTATAGCAAAAGTTATGAGTCTAGAAAAGCTAAATAACAGTAGGTGTTTTTTATTTGAGAAATGTTAAATAACACTAGGTTGTTTTGGAGTAATTCAACACTTGATTTTCTGGGGCATACGATCAACGCTATGATCAAAGTTCCTGTCGTTTGATTACCTTGGTTGGGTTTGGGGTTGGGTGGCCTTTCTTCTCCAGCTTCAGTAGGCCTAGAAGGAAATTTTGAGGAGAAAGGCCGGACCAATGGTGGTGGCGGATGTGGGAGTGGTGAGGTGAGGCATCAATGACGTTGTAACGGGGGAGTGTAGGAAGGCAATTGGGAAGGATAAGAGCGAGGATATAATAGTGATTCGATAGTGAAGCTGAATTAGCGTGGAGGTGGGGCGGATCCAACAATAAGGAGCTACCGGGGACAAAGTAGGCAGTGGGGCAGGGCGTCGCATGAAGACACCATGAACAAGTAGATGGAGAAGAAAGAGGCTAGATTAGATGTAGAAGAAAAGAGATGGAGCATTGGACCTAGATCCAACGTTTTAAAAAAAACGAGTGCCCATTTCGTCTGAAACAATCGAGTGTTATCTGTAGACAAACTTATTTTTGTTTTGAGCATCACAGATGAGGGAATCCCACCTAAATGTTGGTGCAAGATTAGGTCAACCACCGGGAGCACACGCCACCGCACTACATGTGCGTCTAAACAACAGTGGTTGTAATTGAGCGCTTCCTAGATATAGGCCTTTTTATAATCAACTAAAATAAGCTAAAATGGACTGATTGTAATTTAAACATGTTAGAATTTGGAGGTTGGTTATTATAATTAAAATCTCAGATTACAATAATCCTATAGTCCACTTGATACCTGCTTTTTTGGAGACTATGTGCTGAAAAATCCACTTGCCCCATTTATCTAAAATGACTCCAAACTAAAGGGCAGGATGTTACTAGTCAGTTTAACCAACAAGAATCCATCATAATAAGAGATCCAAACATTTCGATTATTACGATAAATGTATAGTGAACACGTCCATAGTCGATGGAAATCACAAGAGACATCATACCAACCACCCTGTAGATCCAAAAACAAAAAAAACCATATTCTATAGTATATCTAATAATACTAATTTGATGTCATAAATCTTGATGTTTTTTCTAGAAATTTGGTCAAAGTTTAAAATGTTGGACTTCAAACAACTCTAGGAATCTATTTATTAAGAGATAAATGGAGTATTTAAAGTGGTTCACCTTACTCTCTCTTTTTTTCACGTGTGACAATAAAGTAGACGACTCCTAGCATTTAATAATTAGATTATGGATTTATTAATTCGTTTGCATTTAAATGGACCCATTTGCCCAATTAAATTGAACGGGTGCCAATAAGTCATATATGTAGCACATGATATCATAAATGGTCCATATCTCACTATGTGAAGAATGGTTTGTAGCAACGGGACAAATTTTTGTAGGGGCGGCTGGTGATGGAGCCGCCTCTACAGTGGCGTGCTCGAGAGCCCAGAGACCAGCTGCCCCTACAAATGGAATAGCAGGGGCGGCTGGTGATACGAGCCACCCCTATAAATGGGTCTAATTTGTAGGGGCGGCTCACTCACCAGCCGCCCCCGGTGTTGGTATTTGTAGGGGCGGCTGGTGATTGAGCCGCCCCTACAAATGCTCCGCGTATAAATACCTACGATTTATAGGGGTGGCTCAATCACCAGCCGCTCCTACAAATGACCCACATATAAAAAAACTACAACACCTTCTTCCTCCTCGGGTCACTCACTCCAACCCATGAAAGAAAGGTGGGGAGACCTTGAGCACCTCCAAAAAATTGCTCTACTAAGGAAAAATGTTTTGGTCTCAAATCCTTTGATGGAGAGGTTATAGAAGGTAAGAAAATACTATTCCACATTTTTTTTAAATTTTTAATGGTTAGTTAGTAAGTAATTAGAGTTTTGTTTTTCTCTCTCTTCTATGGTGCTTGAGCTACTTATGAAGCAAATTAGACCCAAATTTTAAATGTACTAGGGTAAATTAGGTAGGGGAATAAGATCATACACTTATTTGGTTCATATTTCTTGATTTTAGTGAACAATTAGTTAGTTTTATGGATGTTTCATGTGCATGTAGATCCAAATCTAGGGTTTTGTTTTTTTATTAATTTTGTTTTTGTAAATTTATGTTTGATGAAATTGGACTAGGGTTTGCATGAAAGATATTGGGTAAAATATAATTGTTGCTAATTATTGTCTTTGAAATTGTTTATTGTAATCAACAAATATGTATTTTAATTATTTATGGATAAATGGGCCATTAATTAATTTTTCTCTACCATGGTGTGTTTGTATGCTTCATGTAATTATATTTGATTTATATTCATATATATCTGAAGTATATACAATTATTCTCAAGTAATTATTAATTTGATTCATTTTTATATATATCTGAATAAGTTGTCCTTTAATGTTTGTTTTGTTGTTGTTATAAAAGATAGAGTACAGGAACTCTTTGATGTATGGTTCGTTAAGGTTCAAGGCAGGTTTCTGTGAAGAGGTGGATAAATTTATTGAAGCCGCAAAGAAGCATGCAACGACGTTGACAGAGAATAAGGAGACAATTATTTGTCCCTGTAAAGATTGCAAGAACCATATGGCATGGACAGATGTGACTATCATCAGATCATATTTGATTATGCGATGATTTATTGAGGACTACACAGTGTGGATTCATCATGGTAAAACGGTTATTGTTAACGACGAGGATGAGGAGGAATACGATGACGAAACCCTAGAATCCCTGTCCCAATATTCAGCAGAGCTTGATGCACGAATGGATTCCGAGTTTGGCAATAAACAAGGTGGTGATGCTGGTGGTAGGGATGGTAATGATGATGGTGGTGCCAATAATGATGGTGGAGAACGTGTCGGGGATGAAGATGATTTGGAGGACATGATTTAAACCCTTGGACCAGAGATTTTACTAAATAGCCCGAAAGGTCTAGAAAATTTGGAAAGGGTGACAAAAGCATCGAATGAGACTGTGTATGATGTTGAAAAGTGCTGTCCAACACATTGGACATTGCTACATTTTGTACTTGAGCTACTCATCCTAAAGGCTAAGTACGGCTGGTCAGACTGTAGTTTCAATGATATATTACATCTCCTATCATGGGTGCTGCTACAACCAAACTCAGTTCCCACCAACACATACCAAGCGAAGGTCATAAATCCATTGACAATGGGGGTTGAAAAAATCCATGCATGCTCCAACCACTGTATACTTTTTCGTGGCGAAACGTTCAAGTCACTGGATAAATGTCCCCGGTGTGGGGCCAGCCGGTACAAGAACAATGACCTTTACGGTGGGGACGAAGCCTTCATGGGGAAAAGAGGAATAAGAAGAGTACAACAAAGGTGGTACAAGAATATCAACCCCTAGAGGACACTCCATTAGGCAATGATGCAAAGCAGAGAAGAATTTCTGCCTTGGTAATATGGTACCTACTAGTGACCGACCGCTTGAGACGTATCTTCCTAAACCCTAAAGAAGCGGCACTCATGACATGGTGGGATGATGAGCGCAAGGTGGATGATGATAAGATTGCACACCCGGCTGATTGTAGTTAGTGGCAAAGGTTCAATGAGAAGCACAAAGAATTCAGCGATGACCCAAGGAATGTACGGTTTGGCTTGAGCACCGATAGAATGAATCCCTTCAATGAGAGGATGAGCGACCACAACACTTGGCCAGTGATCTTGACCATGTACAACACCCCAACGTGGTTGTGTCAAAAGAGAAAGTACATTCTCCTCACTATTCTTATTTCTAGCTCTAAACAACTAGGCATTGATATAGACGTGTTCCTCGAGCCTTTAATACAAGAAATGGAGAGACTATGGAGGCATAGGGAGCCGATATATGATGCATTCTGAAAGGAGGACTTCATATGTAGAGCAATAATATTTATTACTACCAATGATTACCCCACGCTGTTTGCTTTGTCTAGACAGATCAAAGGGAAGACGGAATGCTTGGTTTGCTTGGATGGTACTACATGGGTGTACCTGGATGCATCCAAGAAGATAGTTTACCTAAGGAACCGACGCTTCTTAAAGACAAGTCATAAGTACCGCAGCAAATTATTCTTTAGA